CCCCAAAACCCCAAAACCCCAAAACCCCAAAAATAAAATCTTTATTGAACTACTTGGCTCCAAAGACCTTGTGAACATCTTCTAATAAATTATCAATTTCCTTCTGAGTGAATCTCTGCTCAATATTCTTGATGATCACATGAAGATCTAGTTCTCTAAATTCTAAATTGTTTAGAAATATTTGGTTACCAAAGTCATCAGATTTGCCCTAAAAAGCTTTTTAGAGACTTTTGAGGTTTGTTTGGATAAAAATTAGGGCTTTTGAAGGAGGAAAGTTTGGGAGATAAGTACTCGTTTGGTTTGGTTAGGAGGTAGAGAAAGTGTTTTAATGGGGATTCTGAGGGGAGGTGATGTCTCAAATTTTCGAAAATTTCGAAAATCTTTAGTTTGAGTGATATAATCGATTTTTTGAGTTATATAGAAGTAATAAAGGAGATTTATGAAAATCTTATATTTACATTTACTGCGATTTCCTCTAAAATACCCATTTCTCCATACCCAAGCCAAAATCAGGACCATTCATCATAACCTAATCCCCTATCCCCACCCCAACTACCCAAAATCTACCATTAACCCTCCAAAAATCTCTCTACACCAATCCCACCCCTCTACAAAATCTAACCCCTCTCTCCCTCCTTCCCTCATCAGCCCCTGCCCACCTAAAATCCCTCTGCTAATCCTTCACCGTCCAGCACCAGCAGCAGCTTCAGAACTCCGCTTAAGGAAGTAACCGGGGAAATTAGAGCAGGAAGAAATTTAGAAATTGGCAGAATTTGGCTGGAATTTGTGGGCTAAGTGGGGTTTAAGGGGTTTTAGGGGTTTTTAGGGGGCTTTAGGGGGTAGAGGATGGGGGTTATGGGAGTGGAAGTTTCAGAGGTGGTGCTTGTGTGTTGGGCATTTGCTGGGGGTTATAGGAAGGTAGAATTGAGCAGATTTAGGATTTTTAGGAAAAAAGAAGTTCAAAAGAATATTTATAAGATATAAGTAAAGACAATGGGGTTAATTATAGAAGGTGTTTTCGATAAAAGCATCTTGTGCAATAAGTTTAAGAATAATATTATTCCAGTTCTAGATCTGAATCCAGGCTATATTGTACAACTAGTTGTTCCTGGCTGGAATAATTGGTTCATACAAAACAAGTAAATGTAAGAGAGATCGAGTTAATTAGTATGCAAAGTTGAGGCAGGATGCAATAACTTGCAGAGCACTTCTGCTCATACTGTAAGATGACTCGAGGCATTATAATACTCTTTATACAATTCCCCAAAAATCCTTCCTAAACCTCATTTCCTAGCCCGATCAGCCTTCACTCAGCCCCAGCCTCCTCCTGAACCAGAGACTTCCCTTAACCATTCCTAAATTCCCTGCCCAAGCCTGAATCTCCTAGTTTTATACGGATACATTATATGTTTCTTCTTTGCCTTACCCTCTAAAGTCGCTATAAAGAGTCATATGGATGCTTACCTTGAGTAGTTATTCATGAGCTCAAGCATTTCGGTTTTCATTAAGAAATATTTATCCATAAGTTGTGTAAACTCTTCCTTCTCAAAATGCTTCTCGCCTGAATCTATAAATTGTTTAGCATATTCATAGTCCGAAGAGTGTCTCAAAGTAGTTTCAAGAGAGGAGAGGGTAAAGATGATTAATTACTCTCTATTCTGTCCTTTAAGGCTGAGGCCGCAGACCTAAGATACCCTGCTTACCATTGTAGAAGACTGTCAAGTGACCGATAACTTTCTTCTCTATAGGAAGAAGTGTCTTGAGCCCTTTGTTCTGCAGGAAGGTCATCGCTTCTGAGTTGGTTAACGGAATCATCTCCGGTACTGAGCTAGACAGGGATAAGCATCATGGCTTACTTTGACATTAATTCTAAATATTTATAATTATCCACTAATAGTTGGGGTTTTGGGGTTTTGGGGTTTTGGGG